TTCATATACTACAAATCCTCAAGCAGTTTACACGAGTAGACTTTTAGATTTTAAAAATCTTCCAGAACCAAAAAATGCTATTGATAACAAGGATGATGATAATTCATTTGGAGAATATTCAGGTAATTAATTTCTTAATTTACTTTACGAAAGCATTCTTTTAATATTTTATTTGATGTATATAATTATTTTTTTTTTTTTTATATTATAGAATTAATAGAAGCAATAGATTTTACTAAACTAGACCTAGGTACTTATTTAACATTAACTTTTTTACATGATTTATTTTATTAATAATACTATTTAATAATTTATTTTCACTTATAGATAAAAGTAACTGAATTAAAGAAAGGAAAGGAATCTTGGGTATAAATTTCTTTATTATTTACTATTTATTTTCTTTAACATTATTACAATATGATATTTCGTTGGAATATATTTTTTATGATTAAATAAAGTATTTATAAAATTATATGAAAATAAAGAATTGTTACAAAAATGTAATAAAGTAAAAATTACATTGTATTTTATGTTATGTTAATCTTATTATAAAGTTACCCAACCCAAAGGTAGGTTAAAAACCTGGCCCAGATTTATAGTTCGGTTACCTGATCTGAGCTGATCTAATTTGGAGCTCTAATTAGATATTTGACGGTTGAGACATGGTGATTAGTAAATTAACTAGGTAAAAAAACTAAAAACACTAGGGGAACGGTAAACAATTGTAAAGAACAAATATGTAAAATAAATTTGAAGCAAATATAGAAAATTCGTTTAACGTGTACTAGTAGCAATGGTAATTATATTTCCTGCTGATGATAGTAAAGTTGATTTATATACGGTATGAGTTGTTTTGCAATATTGAAAAAACTTTGATAGGTAGGTAACTAGAAATTTGCTGGCATATGCAGTAGGACTTCGTCCCTATAGTTAATTTTATTTGTATTGTTTAAACAAATAAACTAAATAAATATGTAAGTTGCAGTAATAAATTTTCAGGTCTATAATAGTTTCCATTAACAATTAATAATAAAATAAATTTTAAATTTTTAATATGATTTAATTTTAAAATAATAGGTTTTTCTTTAACAATAAAATAAAATTTACGTTTTTGTTTATTAGATCATCGAATAATTTTATAGGTAATTCGTATTATTGCATAGCTATTAAATTATCCAGCCAATTTAACACATCACAATAAATTTACTGTTTGTAGATTATGCTGATTAGAATCTTCTTTTATATTGTTCGATAGCATGTCGTACGCCAGTCTTTATTTAAGATTATTAGTAGGTCTTACTAATATACAGGTTAGAATTTATTGTAATCGCCTAAGGTAGGTTATTTGCACTCTTGTTTTTGCAAATATAAAATACGAAACAAGATTAGTCCCACTCACATATTGTGCGTCAGAAAGATAATCACAAGTATAGAATCGCCCAGAAATGAACAATCATTTGTACCATTATTTTTGGATAAATAAAATACAAAAAGATTGGCCCCATTAACTGGCGTGTCAAAAAATTATTCTTAGTAAATATGATGCTCAACATATATATGTTCACCTTAAACTACTAATTATTACAACAATTATCCAACAAAATGCGTCATTTAAAACGTCTTCTCTTTGGAATTATTCTCTTGTCATCCTTTGGGTTAGCTTTTGCTGATGAATATGATCCTAGACAAGATGTATTTGATCAAGTAATCAATGCGCTTGTTCCTATATTAATAGTTTTTTATTTGGCACGAAAGAATCAGAAGATAAGAAAGAACCGGAACTAGATATCGAGGCAAATTCGATAAACTCAAAAGGTTCAGACGAAAAAAAGGCAGAAGAACTCAAGTTAATGGAAAAACAAACCTTTAAAAAAGTAATGTCCAAACTAACCTTTAAAGGAGTATTCGAAGACCTTCTTTATCTTTCATCATTATACACTAGTACTAAGTATAGTATTTTATAAAAACCATGAAAGAATTCGCAATACCCCTCTGGATTCCAATCCTTTCTATAGTTACAACTGGCGTTGTTATCATTTTAGTTGTATTAACTCTTTATAATTATCTTGCAGTATCATCTTTCTTAAGTTTAAAAGAGTACATATTTGATTTCCTTGTTCATATATTTGCAATCATTAATGAAATTTGTTTCATATTTTACACCAAAATACCCCTGCGAATAATTTAAAATACGTTTTCATATCTTTACATATAATAAATGTAATCATAAATACGTTTTATGTGTTTATCCAGCCAATTAACTATAAACTTACATTACCTAGAGATAGTTATGATTGGAAATTTGTTAGTTTAGTCTATAAAGTAAAAATCACAGAGGTTCCGATAGTCCAAATGTTAAACATTGCACTCCTTTCCGGCAATGACTATTATTGGACAAAATCAATATTAGCAATAAATATAATTTTCCTCTCAAGGGTTGCAGATCGTATTAGAGAACCAAGTATTGATAAAAGAAATCCCAGCTATATAAATGTTTACATTTACGTAGCCTTTAAATACGTATAATAGTTTCTCTCTTTTCAATTTGTATATTATAATTATTGTTGATATTTATTATAGTTTTATGATAATACTAAATATGACAAACTTATTATTTTTTCTTTTTAAAGTTTTATGATATATTGATATTATCCTGGAAATTAAGAATTTTTTTGAAGTTTTGGGAGTTAAGTCAGTAGTTTCATATACAAATTGAATTTTAGAATTTTGTGGTGGAATAAGTTTTTTTAGATATTCCTCATTTGGTATTAATTTGGTTAGATCGATCTTATTGGGCGAATATTACGGATATCGCGGATATTTATTTTTTAGCAACTTTCAATGGTTCTTATTGTTCTTTCAACAATAGTGTATTTTCTGATAGGATACGAATTTCCGTGAAACTGCGTTGCGAAGTAATGAAGTTTATACTCAAATTCTTTTAAATATTAGATATATTCTAGCAAATCTTGTGATACGACGAGAAAATATATGATACCCGGAAATACTGTACAAGTATGTATGATAGTATACGTACAAATAACACATAATTATCAACAGTTATACAGACAATTACACAATATATTAAATACGAAAAATATAATTATGTAATTATTCTTTCCCTAATGTTTTTTATCAATTCAATATTATTTTTTTTTTTGTAAATATTTTATTACATAAATATAAATAAATTTAAAATAATTACATCAATTAAAATATTAAATAATTAATAAAATGGAAATTAGCTCTCTCAGATGTAAAAGAAATTATCGAAGCTTTAGAATTGGCTAATTTAGTAAAGAAAAAGGAATTAGGATTATAATGTAGCAAGAAATCCTATGATTTTTTTTATAGGTAATTTAATATTTTGCAGCTTCAATTTTTTTTACTTAAGTTCTGCGAGAAATTAAAAAAATTTAAAAAATTTAAATTTAATAAAGTTAATAAAGAACATGAATACATTTTTGCAAAAAGCTTAAATATGATTATTATGTTTATAATTTATTTATTTAAAGATGATTTATATACATATGTATGATTTTTTTTCTATATTTAGAAATCAAAGTAGTACGTACGATTTAAAATCATACGTACTAACAAAAAACGCAAATACTTTACTAAGATCAGATATACCGGAAATTTTGCAGTGAAAATTAATTATGGATAAACCTGACTAATTGAAATGGTAGAACAATGATCGGCCTATATGATCGATCGATCAATCGGAACAGTGGTATTGGCTTATCTTATTTTCGCAGAAATCTGCATTACTCAAATGACCAATTAATAATTACGTAAACTTTGATATCAAGACACAGCAAGAAGAGTGACGAATAAATTGCATATAATATTATTAAAAATAATCCGTGAATAATTATTTATTTTTGTTATCTAATTGACTAATTCAAAAGAAAGATAAAATAATTTAGTATAATCATTACTTTAATTGGATTTATTTGATTAATAATGACTAATTGATGAGAATTTATCGACAATCAAATTATATTGATTATTAAGACTCAAAAATCATTCGATTAATCGATTACTAATTTTTCGATAGGTCAATTAAATTCCCAAATTAAGAGTATATTTTTTAGTATATTTTAAAGAAATTTTTTTTCACGGATGTTAATATACCACGCATTATAGTCCGCAACACATATCGGGCTTTACAAAAGTATCACATCGCAATCAGTATAACCAATTTTTTTAAAAAAAAATAAATAAATAAATAATATATATTTAAATTGATTTTCCTTATTAAGCATCCATATTTGTGTAATAGGAAGCGATAATATTTTTGATCCTCATTAAGGATTTCTTTTAATTAATTAGTACAACATTTTCAAGGCTAAACTTTGTTTTTTTTCTATAAATATTCATACATTTTTTTTTTTACTTAAACAAATAAGAAAAAAATGGCTGTATCAAACAAAGGACTCATTCTCAAGGAATATCCTAAAGGATTACCTAATGCCGATAAGCATTTTGAATTAGTTCCTCGTACTATTGACATTAAAAATTTGAACTTGGGAGAGAATGAAATTGTTGTAAGAAATATATATTTATCTTTAGACCCTTATGTTCGTTTTACTTTAAGAGAACCTGAACCAGAATATGTATCAGTCGACACGCTACTTGAAAAGAGGGTATCAATTGGACAAGTTATTATTGGCGTTGGAGTTTCTGAAGTTGTAAAAACAAATAATCCTAATTTCAAAGTTGGAGATCTCGTCTATGGACCTGTTGGTAAATAATATTTAAAACGTACAAACAAGTTAAAAACCTTTTTATAACAAAAATCATTTTTAATTTAGGTTGGGAAGAATATTCTCATATTAAATCTGATTTTGCAGCAATTTTTTCACCCATAAATAAAGAATCATTAAAAGATATTCCGTTGAGTTATTACGCCAGTCTTCTTAGAATGGGTGGTTTAACTCCTTATGCATCCCTGGTACTGGGGATAAAGTACTGGCTAGTTAATCAAACAAATTTTAGATCGACTAGTTAACAATCTTTGGACCATGTTATTAATACATTTGCGAAAATTAAAAAAAAAATTATTTTTAATTCATAGTTATAAACATATTTAAAAATCGTTAGTACTTGTTGCTGACTTAGCCAAGTCTTTTAAAAACTTGTTGTCACTTGATCACCACGTTGAGGTGCAGAAACATTGATCAGGGGGGAAGAAGAGAAAGGAAACGAAAGGAAAGGAAAAGGGGAACGAAGGGGAAGGGAACGAAGGGAAGGGGGTAAGGAAAACGAAGGGAAGGGGAAAACGAAGGGAAAGGAAAACGAATGAAAAGGGGAAAATGAAGGGGAAGGGAAAGGAAACACGAAGGGGAAATGGAAACCGAAAGGGAAGGGGAAAACGAAGGGAAAGGGGAAACGAAGGGAAAGGGGAAACGAAAAATGAAGGGAATAGGGAAAGAGACACAACCCACACTCCCACCTACATACCTATAAAAAAGGAACCGAAGAGAAGACCTGACTTAAAGAAAAGAAGTCCTATCGGGGGAAGATACCATGTTCAAGATTATTTAATTGAAGACCTAAGAGAAGAGAAAGCAAACTCCAGAGAGACGCCTAAAAAAAAGAGTTCGTTAAAACTAAGGTATTGGGGACATATCTATATTATTTATATTATATATTCATGAATAATTACTTACTTGCATGAGTAATTTTTAATTTCTGTATAAAAAAAAAATATAAAGAATTTGTAGTTAAATTAGATTTTAGTGCATTAGATTTTAATAGGTTTATCAACTTTAACGTTCTCAAATGTCAGCGTCTTAATGACTGCTCAATTAAATAAAAATTAATAAAATATCCGATTTGTTATGTGATTTTTCGATAGAATGACGATGCATTTTGTTTGGACAAAAAATTTTGGAAAGCATTTGAGAGTTAAATTTAAAGGCTTTAATATATTTACTATTATGAGTCTGCTATAATAAAATCTTTTGTATTTTATCATCTGAGGATGAAAATTCCCTTTATTGTATAATCAGTTGAAATTTATCAGTAAAACAATATAATATTACAATTAATAGCGGCTATAATACTGTATGTTACGTCACACGATACAAGCCGTCAAATCATGTGCAACGTAAAGTAAAATGAGCTGGAAATTTTTTAACTCAATTAGTAATAATCATATTTGATTATGTCACGATTTTTTATACTTTGGCTATAACCTACCACTAACTTACGTAACTTCAAAATTCATTATTGTCGCATACTTTTTTTTCTAATCAATATTAGACCTGAATTTTACTAATAATACACCTCTTCAAGAACTAAATATAAATGAATAAACCTTAAAAAAAATATTTTGAAACTTTATGATATTAAGATAATATGATTTTGATATTATGGAAAGGTAAAATTATATTACACGAGACACTATGGGAAATATTTAGTTATAATATTAGTTATGACTCATAAGTTAATGAGTCATAACTAATTAATTTCACTACTCATACCTCAAAAAAAAAGTATAAATACTTTGCCTTTCCTTTATCCTGTAAGATTTTTTTTTTCTTACAATACATTTTACTCTTTTCTACACTTTATAACAAAATATTTTTTTTTTTTTTTTTACAATATGATAAATTTTCTAAACTTTATAACAAATTTTCTACACGGTACAACAATATTTCACTCTTTTTCTACGAAAAATGATTCGTTTTTTTTTACATTTTTCACATTTTCTAAACTTTTATAACAAATTCTCTACACGTTTCATTTTTTTTTGGAACTCTCAAAACTCTCACCAATAAGTCTTTCAGGGCAGCATGACGTTCCTTTCTCACGCTAATGTCCAGTATTATCCCTCATATTAATCCTTCTAATAACTATACAACTAAGCATCACTCTCAATATACATTTGTGGTAAGGTGACAAAGGAAAAAATATTCTGCTGATGATAGTTTTAACATTTTTCGTATTAGATATCTAATAATATTTATATTATTTACTTTACAACAGAGAGACTTCAAGCTATTAGCAGATGCTATCTGAAGAAGCCTAATAAACAAAGACGTCGCGTACTCCTAAGAAAGGGATGAAGTGACGTCCGTGGCCAAAATTTCTGCTGATATTTTCAGCAAAGCTAATAGTAAATATTTATTACTTTATTATTTTTATACTTGAATCAATATTAAAAAAATCATTTTTTTATTTCAGAGTGATAGGATAAAATGAAGATGAAGGTGCACATAAAACACTCCACATATTATTTGTGCAGTTTTCAGTTGTTTTATAAACTTATTTTTTAGAGAAGTTCTTGAAAAAGGGTGCGTGTCAAATATTAAAAATGCAAAATTTTTTTTTTTTTGATGTTTATACTTATACTTTATATTTGTTATCTGACTTTTTATCATTGGATCATATTTATTCCTTTTTTTATTTATCAGTTATAGCACTATTTTGTATTGAAACATTAGACAACAGATGAAAGCTCTCTGAATGGTGCATTACCAGTTTTCTAGATGGTAAAATGGCTCAAGAGACTTTAAAAGAGGTGTGTATTTTTTTATTTGCAAAGTGGGTAACTTCTTAAGCTAAAATTAGAACGGATAACTCATTGAGTCGGGGAGTTCACAAATTTTACTTAGGAGGGTACTGGATTTATTTGTTTGGGTTGGGTAAGGG